GCCAGACATGGGTAGCCCTACGACAGCTCCAGCGTACGAGCCTATGGTTTGAGTCAATTAGTAGGCAATGGGAGAGAGAGAGAGAAACTACCGGTGCTTTCGATTGAATTAATGAATTCGTAACTATTAATGAAACGCAGGCTTTAAATACATTAACAAAACAGTGGGTCTAATAGTGTTATACATAATAAAAGTCGATATCTATTAATAGCATTTGTATTCACTGTTGGATACATGCCTTCACTCCCACCCGATGTCAAACCATTAGGCGCTTAATTACTATTAAATTAATGTTAAGCTCAAGAAATGGCCGCTAATTGTGATTGTTTTTCTCTCCCATTGCCTACTAATTGACTCAAACCATAGGCTCGTACGCTGGAGCTGTCGTAGGGCTACCCATGTCTGGCCTATTGACCGAATGGATCGGATGGGAAGCCTGTTTTTATTTTTACGGTAAGTTTGCTAACCATTGCGTAAAAAAATATTTACATAGTGATTAACGACCATGATCAATTTGACAGGTTTTCTAGGCCTGGGCTGGTACGCGTTTTGGATGTGGCTATCATTTGAAAAGCCGTCAAAACATCCCACAATCAGTAGAGAAGAGTTATTATACATCGAGAATAGCATCGGAGTCGTCCACCATAAGCCTCCCACTGTATGTTGCTTTTTATGACCTTGATTACTTTTTAATTATAAATTAACACGCTAATTTTGGTGTCGGTTGATTAGTTGGCCACCACTCCATGGGTGGAGATATTTAAGTCGCCGCCGGTTTACGCCATAATAATCGCCAATTTCTGCCGGAGTTGGACTTTCTATCTGTTGCTCATTTCCCAACCCATGTATTTCAAAGAGGTCTTCAAATTTGATGTCGAAAAAGTAATGTTGACATTAAATTCCATGTTAAATTGCATTTAAATATTACCATATTATCAGTATATTTACTGTTAATAGTTCATAAATCTACATATATTAATTTAATATAATATAAATTAACTACAGTATGTTAGTTTACATTTGCAGAACATAATAATTTTTTATTATTAAAATTTGTATAACTTTTTATCAAAATATAAATTTATTTTAGAAACAGACAATTTATCTTAATTTTTGTATTTTTTATATGTTATATATTGAAATCCATTATTATTCCAATTTAAATTAAGCAAACTTTGTAAAATATACACCAGAAATTACTTAAAATTTTTAATTACAGTTTTATTATATCAGAAAAATACACAATACCACTATAACTATAAAATAGTTCAAACAAATTCAACTATGTCAATTAATATCAATCACATTTTATTGACCATCATTTAGTCGGGACTGTTGGGAGCGTTGCCCCACCTGTGCATGACGTTTGTGGTGCCGTTTGGGGGCCATTTGGCCGACCATTTGCGCCAAACGGGTCGACTGAGCACAACTAATGTGCGAAAGTGTTTCAATTGCGGCGGCTTTGGAATGGAGGCCCTGTTTCTCATACTCGTGGGCAGCACTACGAGCACTCATTTGGCGATCATTGCACTCACACTCGCCGTCGGCTTCAGTGGGTTCGCCATTTCCGGTACACAACTTTGCTTTTAACCATCATTGTTTATGTTTGTTGGGTCCGTACATACCCTAATGTCCGGTATCATAATCTATGTCTTGTTATTTAATTAGAATATAAATGTTATTGTGGAATATATAATAGATATAGATTATGATCATGGACATTACATTCGTGTACATATTATTGTATTATGTTAAAATATTAATTATAGTACAATTAGTTAATATAAATATCTGTTAAATAGTATTATGTTTTAACAGTATTTTATCTCTTTTTCTGTGTTTAAATCATACAAAATATCATAAAAACAAAATGACATTCAAAAAGGATTTGGATGTAAACCACAACCACCAGAGCCACCATTACTATAAACATAAATAAAATGTGATAGTGTTTTGAATGGTCTATCATTGATCGAGATCATAGATATTGACCGCAAAGCCTAACATTTTATTTTGTTATTATTGCAAAAATAAATTTAATTGTATTTCAAATACAGTTATTAATGATTCGGCTTTTGATTTAAAACACATTAAATAAAAAGCTTTGAGTCAAACAATTAATGTCCAAAAATAGATCCCATATTAAACCTATGGGAATGTCTCGACGTCTTGGTCGACGCCTTGAGGCCATTAAATATAACATAAATAAATAAATGTAAAATAAAAACTAATTTTAATTTACCAACTTCATATACACAGGCTTTAACGTAAACCACCTAGATATAGCGCCCCGATACGCCAGCATATTAATGGGCATATCCAATGGCTTTGGCACATTAGCTGGTATGCTGTGCCCAATCGTGGTCAATTTAATGACCAAGGAAAAAGTAAATAACCAAGCTAGATATTCCAGACTAACACTAAGCCGACAATTATTTTTTACTACAGACACCCGCCGAATGGCAAGACGTGTTCATTATAGCGGGAGTAATACACATTTGCGGCGTTATATTTTACGCCATTTTTGCCTCCGGAGAACTACAGCCGTGGGCCGAACCGGCGCCGGGTGTCGATGAATTGCCAATGCAATACCAGCCCCCCTTACAGACCCAGATCGAGCAAACGTGGCCCCCCGGGGGCGGCCCCGGCGACCCAAATCAATTGACTAACGCCGGCACCAATCCGTTCAGTAACCCACAGTTGGCGGACCCCGGGTACGACCCCTGGGCCCAGAATGGGTCGGTGGGCACCGGACTGGCCAACAGTTATCAGCCGTCCTATGGCTCGACCGGCGATTCGCAGACACAACAGTCGTCGGCATTTTACGAGACCAGAGCCCAGTATATACAACAGCCGGGAACTGATCAGTATATGCACGGCTCGGCCGCTGATCGCGCATATTGATCACGTGGTCACTTGGTTTTTGTACTTAATTTTACCATGATTATTAGTGTAACTATTACTACTTTGATTGGGTTTTGACTATGTTGTAATATATTTATTGTTATTTATTTATCGAGATGTATTGTTTGTTTTGTTGTATGGGTTAATGTAGTTATGTTCGTGTTTTTTGAAAATGTTGTTTTATTTTTATGATATTTTTTTATTGTTTTGTTTTATAATAGTTAGTAATAATTATATCGAAAATATCGTAAAAAACAAAACAAAAAATCTCTTTTTATTTAATAATTTATTTTTCTAATCACTTATTAATTAATTAATATTTAATAACATTAGTTTTAGATTAATATTTAAATTTTATTATTGAAAATCTCTATTATTATAATTACAATTTTTAACATAACAAGAATTAGCATGTAGATCCCTTCGTGGCCACCTTAATCATTAATTATAATCATGATCATTTTTCAAAATACACTAAACAATATCCACGCATTTTAATCTGACCATAATTAATTTACGATTAAATCCCGATTGATTACCAATGTTGAGAGCATTTATATAAACATCATTATTTAACCATGATAATTAATTCCAATGACAATAGATAATCATGGTGTATTTTATAATACACAGCTTAAATCACCAGACAATCCGATGATAATTAAAAGTAAACTTAATTAAATATAAAAGCAAATAAAATGTACGAACAATCACTAAAATAATATAAATGCGGATTAAAATCACCACAATCAAATTACCGTAAAGTGTATAATTATAAGCTTAATGTTATATTTATTTAACCTGACTAGAAACCCATATTTACCTTAATAACTTTCCCGACCATAATACTTAATAACAATCCCTGATTATTATCATAATCAATATATTTAATCAAGCTTTATTTTCACTGATAAAAGGGACATTAATGCTTTTTAAAAAAGTTTTTAATCACCTTTATCGGCAATTGCGAGACAAATCATGTTTGTTATTCAATGAATGCAAACAACAATCTCAATTTATAAATAAATATTTAATTAATATAATTAAAACAATTTTACCATATAGTTAAAAATCATAATGCATTTTTGAGACTCGTGTTTAAATCACCAAAAATATTGATAATGAAGTTATTTGCATATTATTTACTGTATATACAATATGGAGATAAAACACAACAGTATATTGTTATAAATAATAAGGTTTAGTATAACGGGAGTTGTTTGTATTGAATATTAAAACAAAAATAGGACTGAAATTATAACTAGTTTTAATTGCCGTTTGAATAGGAGTTTATATGTTTAGCAATGTTTGTTGCAATTAAACGATTATGCTAAAATATAATTAAATACATATTAAATTGACGCATTTCTCTCCCCATATTTATGTCAATTAAAATTTAAATACTTTGAAAATATTAGGTTTGAAATGTATTTTTCCCTTTTCATTCATATCAATATATATTTATTATGATTACCATGTGTTTATCAATGAATTTGTATTTAAATTAATTATTTACAATAATGCTGGTTGTAATAAAGAGATTACAACACCACGATTAGTAAACCGTTACATAACCAGTTGCGGGCCATAAGATTAACATGGGATTAAGTAATGGGGCTTAACATTAAGGCAATGAGTGAGAGAGAGCGAGAGGGGGAGAGAGAAAGAGAGA